TGATACTTCATTTTTCACTATTTTCAAAATTAAGATCCATTTTTCGCTTTCTTCTTTTTTTCTACTTTTTTGTTCAAGTGCTTTGTCGGATACGGTTTTCTTTTCATCTAAAGCCTTCTTTTTCTTCTTCCTTCCTTGTTTGGATTTTGGAGTGATATTCTTTTTTTCTTCACTATGCCATTTTTTTTCTCCCATTCCTGTACGAGTTTGCATCTGAGAACCCATATTGTCTTGTGTATCCTCTTTATCTAATTCTTCCAGAGCCGAATTATGAACTTTTTTGCTTAGTTGTTAGAATCGAAGAATGGGTGAATCTCTTCGATGTTACCATTTGTAATAAGGCCTCTAATCCATCTTTCTCTTCTTCTCAATTCTTCAGATATGCTTCCTTTACCCAGCATCACAAGAATGTCTTCTTTATCTATACTTATATTGCTTTCTTCTTCGAGCTTTTTCATAATTAGTTCTACTTCTTGTTCTTCTATACTATGCAACAATTCAAGAGAGACTTTACAACTAACTAAATGTTTGACATTCTTAGTTTTCTTTTTACATACTACATATTTGGTTGTTTTGTAAACATTTGGTTTTCTCTGATTTAGCCTTTCAAAAACTGGTAATAAATTGTTTATACACTTCAATTCAAAGAGCTGAATATTATTTGATATGAATATATAATTTTGTTGCTTAATTTCACTTTTTAAAAGTTCATAGAATATTGACTAGCACTAATGAGTCTTTCTTTCTCTATGTGTAATATTTTGAGTACTGTGTGCAAATGTCCATTCTGCTCTGTTTATTACTTTTCCAAGCATTTTGATAAAAAATCGTAGTGGCTTTTCAACTAGTTCGTTCTCCCATTTTAGTCTTAATTTGTATCCCTTTGAACTTAGCGATACTGGGGTTAAAATTTCTGAATTGGTTGCACCTTCTCTGGCTTTGAGATCTGCCAGATCATTAAAAAAATCACCCAAATGTCCTTTGACTTTTGTAAGGTGCAGCTTCAGCTATTTTGTCTGAACTACTTTTGTTATCGTTGCGATGAGGCCACTATTTTTAATCTTTAGCCACTGTCTTGTTTTACTTAACTCTAGACCTTTTTTAATTGCTAAAATTGCTACCTTACTATCTGTTCTGATTTCACTTCTTTTTCTTTTGGTGCTACTAGTAAGGCAATGAAGATTGCAACTAACTCAGCTCTGGTCAAAGAAAACCACTTTTCAGTTGCACATGCTATTTGATAAACAATTTGATCACCCTTATCTATTTGGATTATTCCACAGCCCATTTGTATTTTCGAATCATTTTCTAATGTCCCAAGTGAGCCATCTGTGTAAAACAAAAGACTATCTAATTCTCTATTTTGCTCTAAAACTCTAACTAATCTATTTCTTAATTCTTTGTCTAAAACTACTCTATCTATTAATAGTTTTTCCCAACTTTCCACTTCTATTATCGGTATGTTTTGCCTTTTTACACTTCGTAGCTCTTTGAGGGATACCACAATTTTTTCCTTTCTTTTCTCTAATACTTTTCCAAGAGTGTTTGTATTGAGAATTAGTTTTACATCTTTTTCCATTTTTTGTACAAAGTTCGAAATATCTCTTAGCTCTTTTCGCTTAACTATTGATGTTTCTGGTCTACTAATATACTCTAGAGAATTTTGTTCAAGATTTGAGCTTGCTTCTGCCAACTCACTATAGTTTTTAACCTCTATGTACTTATTTTCTTTTTTTTTAACTTTTTCAAATCTGATATTTGTATTACTTTTGTCTTTTTACAAAACCCACTCTTTTGTTCTTTTATCTTTTTTAACTTTTTCTACAACTAATTTGAGGTTGTTTTTGTTGCAAGGTGCAATTCTGAACTCTGGCTTAACTTCTTTTGACAATGGGTTTAAAATCATTTCTTCTTCTAGATTGTTAAACCATTTCGCTTTTCTTCCTCTTGCCTGTATTGTATAGCTATTTAATTTGTTGCCATGTATACATCAACTTGCCATCTTCTGCTATAAGCTATGATAGATAGAAAACCTCATTTTGCTCGCATTTGACTCTTCATATAAAAGATTATTTCTCTCTAGAATCTCAGCTACTTCAAGATCATTTATTCCTAATGGAGGCTCAGAATTCCAGCTTTTTGTAAACTTGTTTTCTTCTATTGAAAAGCCTAGCATCTTTGCTTGCTATAAAATCTGCAAACCCAGGTTTTTTAATTTAATCTCACATTTCTCTAATAATACTTGGTTCGTTAGAATACATTTGATTGTGCCTATTTTTAATTGTCCTTGCTTTAGTCTCATTAGTGTAGACTTTTCCATAGGCTCTTTTGCATTTATTCTCACTAATAGTTTTGAGAAGTGATATTTTATATATCTATTCTACAAACTTTTAAGATTCACTATTTCTGGGTGTTTTGGAATTGCATTTGCTGCTGTCAAAAGCATTGACAACTTCCATTTAGTCAGACATACTATAGGTTGGTGTATTCTATTGCATTGGGCTCTGGTTAAGCAAGAGATTATAAGTTTGTACTCTAAAATTAGCACGAGTACGATGTTGTTTACGTATATAATCTGACTAAAAGACATTTTTTTGAATTTAAAGAGACCTGTTATCTTGGCTACCTCTTTTCTTGCTTTGTAAATATCTGATCTTTTTGATTTTTTGTTGATACCTAGACTCCTAGAAAATGAGTAAATTCCTTTGGGTTCTTTGCCAAGATTTTCACTTTCGGGTTGCCTGCCCAAATATAAGGATCCTCGGTACCTTTGGGTTTGCATGGTTTTATAACTACAAGTTTAGTTTTGTTTGGATTTATCTCAATATCATTCAATTCGTAAAACTCATTTGATAAATTAATTGTTTTTTGCATATTTTCTTGGCTGCTAGTCACCCATGTTGTATCGTCTGCGTATGCTAATACTCACACTCATAATTTTTCTGTGTCAGATTGATCATCTAGTTTTGGATTGCTGCTTTGCATCTTGTACCCTAAATTTGCTTTTTGTACTTTACAAAGAAGAGGATTATAGAAAATTCTCCATACCAAAGGAGATAGCACCTCTCCTTGGTCAATTCCATTTCCTGCTTTAGCAGCTTTAGTATTACTGAACTCTTTTATAAAACTAAGCTTCTTTTTGTCATAAAGATTTGTAATAAAATTTGCTAGTTTTGGTGGAAATTTAATTCTTTCTAACACTTTTTTAAGTGCTATTATACTAACTGAATCAAAAGCTTTTTTCATATCTTGAAAAGTAATCCAGAGCTCTTTTCTTTTTTCTATCGCCTCTTCTATTATATTGTTTATAATGTGGATAGGTGCGGATATACTTTTCCCAAAGAGCCTAGCAAAATTTGCACCTTTTAGTACTCTATTGCTATTTAACACCTTGTCGAGTCTCACTTGTATTACTCTCATTATCACTTTTCTACACATTTCAAGTAAGACTATTGGCCTTGTACAGCTCAGATTGTATTTCCAAAAACTTCCTTTTGGGATTAGATATACCTAACTCAGTTTCCATTTCTCTGGGATATTTCCACTTTCTAATACCAAGTTTGCAAAATTTATTATTCTCTCGATTATCTTTGTAGAGAGCTTTTTGAGTAGTATGTAACCAATGCCTGATATGCCTGGAGCTGTGCCATTTTGTGTTTTTCCTAGAGCTTGTGTCCATTCTTCTTTGCTAATTGGGCTCATTACTTTTTCGTATATTAATAGATCTATGTTCTTCTTCAGCATATATTCATTTTTTCACTCCTGGCTCATCTCTTCAAACTTCTGGTTTCTTTTTCAGAATTGCTTTTGAAAATGTAAGATAACTTGCTGCTTCACCTCTGTTTCTCCATTAACGAGTTCTAGATTCTGGTAGTCTGTTTCTTCTCCTACAGGACCCTGTCCAGCATTATCTTGTTGTATGCTCTATTTAGCAGACTTTGTAGCATTCTTTTTTTATCGTTTTTCATTATACTGAACCTTTGTTCTATTTTGTTTCTTATTTCTTTTTCTTTCTTTTGCGTTTCTCTTCTTTCTCAAAATCTTTTCCCAATTTCTGAGTTCGTTTATTTTTACCTGGCTCCACTGTTCTGGCATTTGTGGGATTTGTATTTGGTGTGTTTGATTTATGTTTTCGATTTGTACATCGAACTTTTCCCTATCAGCAATATTTATTTTCTCTTCATAATGTGTTTGACTTTCTTTTTGTATATAATATAGGAATTTAACCTCTTTGTAGATATTGGAGTTAGGGACTGATAATTTCTCCTAGATTTCAACTCTCTTTGTCGATCACTAAAACCAAATCTGGAACTAAAGAAAAAACAAAGTTTGACAGTTCCTTTATTAAAACAACAATAGAACTAGCTCTAAGCTAAAGAATAGAATACAAAAAAATAACTGGAGTTTTTTAGAACAACTTTGATCACTACGTTCTCAAAAATGCACTTCTTGGAAAATTTTTAGACTTTTGACAAAATTTTTAAAACTTTTCTAAAAATTTGGGGATTTACTGTTGACCCTGTATTGCAGATCGCAATCTGACAAAACAAACAAACACGTCCACTTTAGGTGAACAAACAAACAAACCAATATTTGTAGACAATTAACCAATATAACAAACAAACACGTGTATTATTAAAACAACAACAAAAACAAATATTACGCGTAAAATGCCTAATCTTAGTATATACAAAAACTTCTTTAATAAATCTAAAACCGAAAGAGCAGTAGTTCAAAAAGAGCAAAACGAATTTATATGAGAACAAGATAAAAAAGTTGCAAAATTTTTGGGCACAAGTGAAATCTATCTTATTACAATCATATGCAACATTTTACAACACATCAACTACGCTCAATACAAGTTATCAAGTAATCAAATTCTAGAAGAAGAGGAAAAAGTTATACTAGAATTCCCAACTAACAATTCAATACAAGTAAAGAATACAAAGAAAAACTACTCACAAGAAAACAATATTAGAGTTAAAATCGAACCTTCTTTAATGGAAGACTTAATTATACATTTATCTGTGTTCTCTAAAGCAACCAATATCGATACGGAATATGAGAGTAAGCTTAAGATAGTGCTAAATAAAAATGAAGTTAAAGTGAAGCCACTCCCAATAGAAACTACTCTAGCAACACCATCTATTGAAACTAAGAGCACTGTTAACAACATAGAATTAGAAATACAGAACAACCCTTGTAAGAGAAATATGGCAGAACAAGAAGTACCAACACCTACTTCAAAAGACCACCAGGAACTAGTTAAGGATATACTAATTAAAAAAGAGTGTGGTATTTGTGATTACGGACTGGAAGAACTCATAAAAGAGGAATTGCAAACAGATGCAAAATCATCTAAGCAATTAAGTCACAAGAAATCTAAACAACATGAAGATATATACAACTCAGCTTGAGCCCCAGTAAACAAGATCTCGTATCCAAAAGTCTCTGATTCACCTACTTTTCTCTTCACGATTTGGGACCTTCCAAAAGATATGAAGGCATCAGTAATAAAGTTTTATTTGAATGTCTTTGGTACAGCAACTGTTATAGTATGGCAGCAAAATTTCAGAACGAAAGCAGCATGCATTAAAATGATACCAAACTCAGAACAAAGAGAAAAATCTCTAAAAGAAGGGTGGTCAATTCATTTAGAACAAGGCAAAACGTACAGAACTACACCAGGCAAGTTCGATATTGCTAAAATAGAAACAAGAAACAACTACAAAGGCACTATTTCAAATATTCCAACATCAGCATACGATAGCCTTCTCTTACGACAGCTTAAAAAGTATAGAGTTCAAGCAGTTCATATCCTCTATAACCGAAATGGAAATGAGCCCATCTATATTTCAAATTAGAGGAGAATCTCTTATTAGCCCAAAGCTGCATCTTATACTATTTCAATACCAGACTCAGATAGCACCTAGCTACAGAAGACCCAAACAGAAGAAATCCCACATATGGCATGTTTCAGTATAAAAACGAAAATAATAACCAAAACAAAGAAAAAAGAATAAGAAATAAAACAAAAACATATAAGAAAAAAACCAACCCAAGAGCATGCCCACCAAACAGCCAGATGAGACTAGAAGACTTAATTCTATCTATAGCGCTAACTCAGATAGCAGTAGAACTAATAACATTCACAGACCTCGAAGCAAAAACAGAAAACCACTTAGAAGCCTAGAAAACATAACAGCTATGGATTCGAACAAGATAGAAATAAGAAAAAAAGAGGAAAGCAAAAAGAATACAAAACTGGAATGCTCCAGGATGAAAATCGCTACAAAAAGGCTAGATTACATAGTTTAGAATACATTAAGCCAAGAGTTAACCTCACAGTCAAAAGTGAAACGCAAAGTAGCATTTTGGAACAAATCTTGAATAGGTTACAAAAGATTGAAGAAAAACAGGAAACTCCAGTCCCCAACTTCTTCTAAGGGCGCCACAGTTGTATTAACAAATTCAGACAAGCAATACAGCTTGTTGGGCGAACACCACTTAAGATAACTAACAACGCTCTCATAACTAATCCAGAATTAGAGCTAGCACCAGAAAATATAAAACAAGACAATAGAATAGAAGAAAGATTCGAACAAGTAAAAATAGGCTTTCATAATATTAATGGTCTTAAGGGAAATAAAACAAAATTGCAAGAGCTGATAGACTA